GTTGGGTCCAGGAACAGCAGTCAACTTTGTGGGAATCCAACACCTTCACCACCATACTACTTGCTGGCTCCATCAATTCTAGTTTTTTTTTTTTTCTTAAGAAAATTCTTTTCTAAGAGAAAAGTTAACTTCAGTTTGACTTCAGGAAGAAAACAGTTATTTTTTTCAATACCTAGAATATAAGTTTGAGCCATGTTACATTTTTCTCCATGTATCTAGAAAGACAGAACTTTGCCGAAATCAACCATGTTGTTTATGTTAACTTGATTTAAGGTCACTAATTCATGCAAGGCTGTGATTAAGAAAAGAAGTATCAGTCTTCTTCAATTACGCATTTTTGTTGTTAACAGTTTATAAAAACAAAAAAGAAAAAAGAAGGGAGATTTTACCACATTTCATTGGCAGAATGGATGAAGGCACTAAACCAGTATCTGGTTATCCGGGGGACAATACCAACTTAGTAATAAAGGAAGAATTTTAACTGGTATTTGTTAAAAATTTAAAACCTCAGAATGAAAATCAAGGACTGCAATGAAATAACTATTCCAGAAGGCCAATATTAACCAAATAAAACAATCACACTCTGCAAAGTTCTAAATGGGCACCAATGGATTATCAGCAGGATTCTGAGGGAGTATTATCAATATTTGATAACAGGCTCCTTGCACAATGGCCTTGCTGATATAACATCAGTGCAAGCCCTGTTTGTCTGGGATAGCTCCTGGAACAGTGCACTCATAAAACAATGGCTAAAATGACTGTACCAGTCTCGTACAGACCGCATGAGTCTATAAATAAATATTCAAGTAAAATATCGGGAAGCAACTCAGAATCTCTCATAAAAGCTGTCCCTGCCACTGTGTTAATCATCTGCTTCTTGTCTGAGAGATGTAAAGAGAGCTAAGCCATGTCCACAGTGAGCTGCTACCATGTGAGATAATGAGGAAGTGGGAAAGTTCGAGCAAGGTAGGATCCTAATTCCCAAAGACCAGTGATTATTTGGAGCTTTTCTTTAAGGAGTTGATGGATGCCTGCCTTCCTGCAAGTACTGCTCCTAGGGTCTGCTAGTTAGCCTGCAAACACACACAGATCCCAATGAGAATGGACCTTGATAGTTGAGGACAGCTGGTCCCTGAGGAAATGGCCCTTAGGTACTGTTGACACATCATTCTGGGATATTTCATTTTAGAACTTATTAGAAGAGACCCAGACACTAAAGGTCAAAGGCAGGAAGAGACACAGGGACAAAGACATGTATTTGCATTTAGGATTCTGTTAGCCTGTCAACTAAACCACTCCCTGAATTTAAGCATTATGAGTATCAATTATGAGGGAAAAAACCAACACCAAGGGAAATCCTTGTAGTCAGGATTGCTAGACGATTGCTGCTAATTTTAAGAAAAATACAGTTTTCCACAATATAATTGTTATGTACATGTTAACATGGGAAAAGCTTCTAAGCAGGTAGAAGTTGATTAATGTCCCTGTAAAAGTTAGGCAATATGGTAGTTGTCTATTCTATTTCACTGTAAGAATGGGAGTTCCACTTTGCACTATGCGTATGTGATTGGAAAGGAAAACTGGATATACGTATATTACATAATGTTTATTGTAGGTCACAAAAACATTCTCTGGCTATTTGTAATAGCAACTTACAACTACACCACACTGGATGCTTTGCCTTATGACAAAACGATGTCTATCAGGGAGCAGGGGACAAAGTATGTAACTTTCAATTCCACTGCAATAGTTCTGACCACAGTAGGGAGTCATGAATGGAGCTGAACCCAGTGATATGAATGCTGTCGTTTTTTAGTAGGAAGATGATGATGGATGCTGAAGATTTAAGATATTAAGAACCAGCAAATCGGGATTAGTAGTTAGTATAATGGCTATGTCACTGAACTGCCATGTAGCTGACCATGGTTCGAGACCCGGACCCAGTGGCTTAAACTCACGCCAGGTGCATGTGCATGCATGCCCAAGATCCTGAGAGGAGAATGGAGAAGAAGGGATTGCTGTGTGGCCATCCCCCCCGGAGGGGGGGGTGATTTCTCACTTTCTGTCTCTCTGTCTCTCTCTGTCTTTCTGGCAAGCGCACACGCCCTATAGCAAAAACCTCTCCAAAAAAAAAACCAAACAAAACCCAGCAAATCTGTCAAATACACGTGTCATGTTCTTACATGCAAACCTAAGATATTTTGAAAGAAAACACAAACCCAAAATCACTCATAAACTCAAATAGGCAGAAGGTTAGTCAATATCTAAATGATCTTCATTCACTGGAAATACTACTTCCTGTATCATTCAATTGGGTCTCATTACAGATAGTGGCTACTTAAGATGAAAAAAGTGTATTCTCCCAAAAACTAATGAGTGGAATTAACTGGTTGATTTTTCTCTGGTAGATGGCAATGAAAGAATCTTCTGGACAAAGCTGACTCCACTGGTGTTACATTGTAAGACAACAATGACCATAACTCTTAGAAGAAACAAGTAGCCCATCCCAGAGCCAAGCACCATAGATTCAACCCCACGATGTGCTGGGGGCATACTCACCAGCCTCTCGGGTCGTGTTTCGGCTTGTTGGCTTGGGTGGAGGGACGGGGGCCTGCTTACCAGGAGCCTTGGTAGTTTTTTTAATGGGAGGCACTTCGTCCCCTTTGTGGCTGGCCCCAGCAGTGGCCCCTTTTGGAGGCACAGGTGTTTTTTTGGGTTTAGGTTTGGGTTTAGGCTTAAGAGGAGCTGAAGGAGGTAGAGCAGGAGTTGCCGGTATTTCAGAGTGGTTTTCAGTGTTCTCTAAAAATGAGAGAGTGAATAGAAGCAGACTGATACAGACACACACCATATAAATACAAGGAGCAAGACACATGACAGCAGTGATACAAACACGGGGCTGCTTGGCCCTTGGGAACCAGAGGGAGCTCTGCACCAGAGACAGCAAAGTTTGGGGTAAAAACAAAGACTGAAAGACAAATGAGGATGTGTTTTCTGGATACAATAATCACTCCTTTTATATATTAAAAAAAAGGTTACACAAGATATTGATGAAGTTAGGTTGAGGACAGATGTAAATGTCCACAAGACAAGGGACTCCAGCCTTGAATCTTTAGTTGCTGGATGACACTATAGGCCATAAGTGCTAGATTTTCATTTAACAAATTTAATACTTTAACAAAACTGAAGGACACCAAGGTGACACATGAGCATATTACACACAATGCCATGGGGTGAGGATTGATGGCCACAGCAAACCACTGGATTCAGTTACCTTTGAGAACTCAAGCCTGATTGGCTTGAAGGGATTTGTGTACAGTCTCACTGTGACTAAAAAAATCACTGATGTTCTAAGCTAAAGAAAACTGAAGGATTTTTGACATAAGGCACAATGGACTGAAAAATGAACTGGTTTCTACTATTAAAAATCTCGAACTCTCCCGGGAGGGGCAGATTTCTATTCTGTAATAATTTCCTCTGCCCCTTTTCAAAGAGTGTCATAACTACAGGCACAGAAGGCACAGAATCCCAAAAAGAATTGACTTTGTTTTGTAATATAAACACAAATAATAATTTTATAAAGACAAAGGTTAAAGTTCATACAAAAAATTCCTAAGAACTTCTCTCCCAAGATTTACATAACTGGAGAAGGATCCATATTAATCTCTCATTACTGAAAGTGGAGATGTCGATGGTTCATTCATTTATTTACCTCCTAAGAGTGACTGGTTGAAATTAAAATATTAAAATATGGTTCTGGTCCAAAGAGCTGAGCAGCATTACTTAAAAATGGAGCACAATAAGAAACAGCAGACAGCGTTAAGACGAGACTAAGCCTTTACCTGATATGTCCTCCCTTTATGAAATGACCAGGAAAGGATTATAACATTGGAATATATCAGACTTATTTATCTTGTTTTGTTTCATATCCTAGTGATTGTGAAGACTTCTCTTTTCGTTTACTACATTCCCCATTAATCCACATATGTGACTTAAGTTACAGTATATAACTAATAAAACTTTTCTGTAGCATTCACCTTTTATCTAGCTTCAGCCATGACGCCCTTCCTAACTGCAGGCAAAGTGACCCTTCCTGCCTCTGATCAACTTCAGACCTACTTACTGTCTGAACCACTTACTCAACTTTTATCAGAGGCTCTTCTGCATCTTTGCCTTTCTGTTTATATATCTTGTCTCTTCAACTAAGCTATTTATCATTTAAAATACAGGAATGGCCCTTTTAAATCAGCTGGTATGAACCAGAAGAACAATTAATCACAAAAGTCAGTTAGGGTTTTGAATGATGCAAGTTGATATGCATTTAAAACATTTGATTATAACATTAAATATATACGTATACTTGACTTTCCAATCTTTTAACTTAGGGCAGAGGTCTATTCTTTAAACACACCTTTGTAACGTTAGCCCCTAGTATAATACTATCTGTGGAGATCAAGCCCAATAATATTGTTCCTGATGAGATTTCAATGGATCTGTGGCACTTGGAATCTTAATTCTTTTTCACACTATACATTCTACATGTTTTATCCTTTTCCTTCAAGGTATATTACTGAGGGACCTTTTTTTGGTTTTGATTTTGGTTTTAAGTTCTAATTATACCTCAAAGAATCCTGGGTTTGGGAAGGAGGACATGGTTTGTCATAGCAGCTGGGAATGACAGTCCCTACTAAGGAGAAAGTAAACAGCATTCACAAACTCTCTGCCAGCTCCTTAGAAGGCTTGGTCTACTCCTCTTTACTCTTCAAACGCTATCAATTATCTATGAGTGTTTGCCACTCTGATGATTCCTAAGTGGTATGTGTGTGAGTGAGAGAGAGAGAGAGAACACATAGCATGCCAACTGTTTGTTTTTCTGACTCAATTATAAAGTCTTTTTGTCTGAAATTTTATACCTCAGACACAACATTCTAAAAACTACATATATTTTCTGAATGTTACTGATAGTTTCTGAAACACTAGTCAGTAAACAGATGCTTTACTGGTATCTAGAAGGTAATGAATTAAGTCAAGCCATATTTGTTTTAGAACCATGTGAACCAAAGATGTGATATCAAGCGACAGTGTACAGGGGTTTTCTCTTTTGAAGAGGAGGTTACCGAAGGGTTACTTACTCATTCTGGCTTGATAAGGGCACCATGCTTCCCAATAATACAGTAGACAAATCAGCTGTTTACTGTTCTTTTAGGCATGGCTCCCTGTACCACGTGAAGGGTTGAGTTCAACAATACTCAACATAAGCCCAGAATTCAAGCAGTCCTCACCTTGCCTAGAATACATTTTAGCCCCAGTCTTCTCTTTTGCTTGACTACTTCCTTCTTGTCTCCTTCAGGTCTTCGGTTTGGAAAATTGACTGTGAGAGCCAATTTTGGTACCTGCTGCAACAAGCTCCTCGCCTTGCTGTGCTCATCAATTCCACAGCACCTTTGCACCTTGCGTGCAGTTGCCAGTATGCATACTCATCTCCTCACAGGTCATGATGTGTGTGGGTTAAGAGCCATTTTCACGCTCTTTTCCAGCACCCACCCCCGCCCCCCCAGCTCGCCTTGCTGTGCTCATCAATTCCACAGCACCTTTGCACCTTGCGTGCAGTTGCCAGTATGCATACTCATCTCCTCACAGGTCATGATGTGTGTGGGGATAAAAGCCATTTTCACGCTCTTTTCCAGCACCCACCGTCTGCCCCCCCCAGGAGAGGCCAACCCATGGTAGACTTTCTTTATTATTTATGGAATAAATAAGTGTCCATCAGTTTTTTGCACAGAAAAACATAGAAAAATATATCATGACTTTCCCTACGACCCAATAATTTGCAGATTTCTTATATTTAAGAGCTATATTTAACAGATTGTAGATCAGTCTTTCTGCTTTTCTGTACTTAAGGGCATTTACTGAGAAGGACTACTCAGATACTAGGAGCTCTGAAGACTTCAGGAAGGAGTCTCCAGTGTCAAGCAGAGGAGGCACAATACTCTGTACCAACTAGAGTCTGGTGCCTTCAGGAACCCGAGAACCATCTACATGGTCTGAGTGACACCTACTCACAGAGCAAGTTGGAAGGACATCACGTGCCATTTGTTTTGCTTTCTTTGACACTGATGTTTCAAACTTCAAAGTATTGAGGTATTGTCTTATAAAGAGATATACTACATATCTAGTATAGAACTTTAAAAGGCATGTGACGTGGTTTTGCAAATATGCCCAATTAATAGAGGAAATAGTGCTCTTGAACAACGTGGCTTAATATAGGGAACACTGCATCTCAGAATCAAGAAAGAACTATCACGGAACATGGGTTTGCATAGTAGTGAGCTCACACAAGCAGTGAGAACAGAAAAGAGAAGTGGCAAAAGTGAATCTTGGGTTGGCTTTCAGAATTAAATGGTGCCTTTCTAAGGAAACAAATCGTTACCTTTGTTCATAAAGCACTTCGCATTTTTTATTTAGCATAATACTCTGTAGCATCATTGATGAACGATGCTCTTTTTGGTCTCAGGAAGTGAGACTAATGCTATCAAGTAGAACTAATACCATTAGGCAAACCAGTATTTCTTGTCATTATCAGCGTGGCTCCAGCGTGTGGACCGTCCACATAGTGTGAGGGAGCTATGCTACCATGGTGGCACATCAGAACTCCCAGCACTTCCATTTCCGTGTGTACCAACTAGCCAAGCAAGAGGCTATCTGGAACTTTTAGATGACCAGAAAGAACAGAATGTACTAACTCTAAGGGAAGAATAGGAAAACAAAAACACCCCTCAACTATTCATGACCCTCTAACATTTGCCATCTTCATCTTGGAACATCAAGGCTTGCTGGTTTAACTAATACAAAACTGTCAGCAACTTTTTTATTAGGTTGATAAGGAAAAGGATTCCTTTAAAGTCTGGCCAATCCAGGGATTGATACCAGACAGGGACAAGGCAAGCACTGAAGATGGCATGGTTACATAATGAAGGATGCAATTCTTGAATATGAAAATCCCAGACTGGAGACTAATCACAGATGGTTTTGAAATTTAATGGTTTGGTGAAACAGGACAGTTGAACTCAAAAACAAAAAACAAAAACATCACTACTTGCATTGATACCTTCAACTGAATCCCTTTAAAATTGGTGTGAGTCTATTGTCCTTTTTATGTTCCGGGAATATGTCATTAGAAGTATTAGTCAATTTCTCATAATCAGGTTTCATTAGCTTAACCATAGTCCTTGACTGGAACAAGGCTCAGTAAAGCCCTATGAATACCACACTTCTTACTTGAGTAAAGTGAAATAATAAATTTCTAACAGATTATTAACATAAGCTTCTAAAGCTTTTAAAGGTTAATTTATATGCAAATAATAAATGGTTATGGACTTCCTGAGATGATTTAAAATTACAACATCTATTTAACAGGATTATCAAATGCTCTTTTGTTTCTTTTGTCTTTTGGAGTATCAGGGTCCAGAACAGAGAAAGAGAAATTCGATTTCAGCAGTTTCTAACAATTCTGAAAATGCTTGCAGAACCCAGACTAGGTTTGACAAAATGTTTTTGCCACTCAACTCAGAGGCAGACCTTATAGAACAGGAAATAATCTTATTTCCTGAGGATTCCTTTCTGTACTACATGGAGTCATCCGGAATCTCCCAACAAAGCCTTTCCTGTGGGAATTTCGGTTCAGGTTTGCGTAAGTACAAGGAATGGAAGTTCCACCACATAATAGCAGTGGTATCAAGATGTAATCAATCCATGCCAGGAATTTGCGAGTGTTCTGGGGGTCGGTCCTTAATAGATGTGTA